CCCCTCCCCCACCTGCTCGCGTGCGAGCGGCTGCAGGCAAATCCGCTTGCGACGTCCGGACCCGGGCGACGATGCTTGCAGCAATAGAGGCGGAATTACATTTAACTAGCTTCCATTGGTTTTGCGTTCGAAGGAGAGGGCTGATTTCGCGGGTATTCTGTAAATACGTGTTCATTCATTGCAGACACCATCCTTCTTTCTGACAAGTCAACGGTGATTGTAAAATTGGAAGCAATATTTGGTAAAACACGTGTATTTGGCACATACATAACAGCGCGCTTGTTAATCATAAAAGTTAGAAATCCTAATAGTATTGCTGATTCCAAATGTTGAAAAATGTGTTAATACAAACAAACATACTAGGTACTGCAGTAATATGAACGTTAAATAAAAACAATTTCATTTACTCTTTTGTACCACAAATATATTCTCTTGATGATTAATCAACAAGTATTTCAATATTGCCTAAAAATAATTTCTTGTTCGCTCTAACTATGTTAATATTTATACAATAAATTATTTAATCGTAATTGTCCTTTCATGGACCTAAAATTATTGTTACAGTATCTTATAGTTCCCAATTCACAAAAGTTTTAAGGTATATCTTTCAGTTTACACGCCACTTAAGGATATCTGATAATTGAGAGTATACGCCGCCATGTCATCAAATAGGGGACAATTAGAAATTCATCTCTTATTTCTGCCCAAACACTAACTTGTTGACGTGTGGAAGGAAGAATGGAAAATATCAATTACACAAATGTAATGGGTTAAGTGAATTTGCTGTTTCGTAATACAAGATTCACTATGACGATTCTCTGGGAAAATATGGAGGAAAAAGCATACAGTCGTCTCTTCAGTCGAGTCAAAAACCTCTTAAAAAACTTCTATTCGAGAAAAAATATCGCTCAAAATAAGAAGAATGTCCTTTTGGCGAACGGTCGCCATACACATTCCGGTCTGATTGAGTTCTTTAACAGCTCGTACGCGTGAAAAAGTATTTGATATTACGCGAAAGTTTGTTCGTGATCTGCAGAATGTCCGAAAAAGAAATGGTTCCCATACTACACACGCGCACTTGTGTAGGACAATAATTTACTCTTCTGATGCTCTGTTTCCTTTCGCACAGTATTGAATGATCTGCCCTAGAATTTTTCATTTGTTTACAAAAATACCTTCCACGGCCGGGAGTAGAAATCAATTTCTTGGCCAATCAAAACAGGACGGAAGTACATCATTTGCTCCTAAGTGCATCATGTTTGTAAACATCACATCTGCCCCTAGGGAGTCTTTAATATTAAGTGATTACTCTCGCTAAGTAGTCAGTACGCATATAACTAGGTGGAAAAAAATCACTTATTAAAATTTTAAATGAATATGTGAAATGATGAGGCCGTGGAAAAAATAGTATACACAACTCAGGAGAGAAGACCTTTTTCCCGTCAGTATAATTGCAGCCCCCGGGGTTCCAACCTACACTTCTCTCCGTAGTTGTAAAATCTACTATTTCATCGCTTGTCTCATAATTTTCAACACTCATAAGCTTCGTTTTCTGAACAGTAATTAATCATAAACATTTTTCACTTATCTTTTACTCTTCTCTCTAATTTTTTTTCTAACAGAACAGTTTGCAGAAGACACTGAGGATAATTTTATGAACATGTCACAAAACATTTTTACTCGCACGTCAAACATTTAACGTACGAGACAAGCGCAGGGGCTTGAAGTTCCCGAAAAGTTGCGTCTGGTTGACGTTTGCTTCCCGACAGCCCTCAACTTGCAGCCGCCGTTGGCATGCAGCGCCGACTTTTTCCGTGACACCTGTTGGGGAAGGCGAAGAGAGAAGAACAAAGAAGCGGCGCATTCGTGCGTGCAAATGAACGGCGCTGCAGTCTCCAACGCGCAGGGAGCGCGGGGCGAAGGGAAGGGCAGACGCAGAGAAACAGCAACCGGCTGCGCTCCTCTAATGGATTGCGCACGAGCCGTCTGGCGCTCGGCGTCACGAGGGAGTGAGGATGGACTGGGGTGGTCGCAGAATTCATTTCTGTTTTGTTTGGGAGTCAGTTTGTTGAAGACTTAACAAAATATCAAATTTTGATGACACAGAATATCACTAGCAATTTTTATTCTCTCAATGAAGTTGTTCGAACCACTCTAAAGAGTTACGACGAAATCACATTACTTTCATTAATTTATTTAGGTCATTTATAACAAAAATTGAAATGACACACACATGATCTTATTTGCTTAGTTAAAAAATCATTAAGCTTATCCTCGAAATTTGTAACCCATCAAAAAATATAAAATATATTAAAAATACTATCTTCGTAAGTCGTGAAAGATTGCATGGAGGAACAGAAATCTCAGGATTTATTTTTTATGATATATTTTTAGTACTATGTAACCTAATAATTCCCAGTCCATTTTCACCGCGTGAAATGCGAGTAGAGTATTCTGCGGTCGGAGTCAGTGGAAGGCTGACCTGGAGACGCGAGTCCTCGGAACAGGGGCCAACGTTTCGGCCGCCATTCTGCGACCTTTTTCGAAGTCGCACGTCGCACGGCACACATATTTTCTTGGCGCCAAGTTCTGCTACACGCGGAAAATATTTACGGCAAAGAGAGCGAAACGCAAATATTTTCGTGTGGACGTGGTTGAGAGAGGTGTTTCATTTGTCTGTAGTCGTGGCGCTCATTAGAGACGCGGCTGACGGCGGTCCATCCTGGTCCAAGCTAGTACAGAACGACAGGTTTACAACACACAACATGCTTCTAAACAAAATCACACAAAATGGTTTCCCAGAAAGTAGCCTACACACATCTTAAGAGCAACAAATAATATGCTCTCTTGTAATGATCTCCTATTACTTTATACACTCTCCTATCCAATATTTTAGAAAAACAGTGGTTAGGAATTCAGCTGTAACATACGAGAAATATTTGCATTGTTCAGAAAAAATGAAATTTTTTGATTATTTTTGTATGTTTCCCGAGATCCTGGGTATCTAACAGAACTATGAACATCACTCACTTGGCCGTAGGCTGCTTAGTTATCTCTCGATTTCTACGCGGATGCAAAATTAGTAATCGAAATGTTCCTCTGCTAAAAATCCATAACATTTTATTTCTAGAACTGTGCATTTAAGAGAAAAAAATAGTCAAGGGATATTTTGTTTTCATCTAGTGAATCCGCAGGCACAGAGTTTGTGCGAGTGCAAAGAATCGCTTCGAATATTTTCACTGGTACATCGACTGGATCAACATGAGGATTTTCAATTATCGAGATAGCGATTCATTGGTATAGGAACATGATATTTCTTTCTCTAAGCGCAACTAGCTTGTTTTAATAAAACGGGCTTCGCCTAGACTAGCAGAATTTCAATTCCGCAAATCTCACGTAGCGTCAAACAAAAGCTCGCTTTTCAGCAGCGGCCGTCGTGTCGTAGGCACCGCGCCGCAATTCCCTTGGCGGTTTGTCCTCGCTGTAATTAACGAGCTGTCGCGCCGGGACGAACAAACAATCGCCATGCTACGGCCGCTTGTCCACGCACACATCGTTGTCTTTGTAACGGGCTTGCAGTCCAAGCCGCCTTCATGTTTCAACTGAGCCGCTCTTTCTTTTGGGAGGGTCTGGTCTGTAAAATATGTATTATTCCGTGAGCATGAAATCTACGGTGTACAAATTAGACAAAGGAAATGAGAAGTAAAACGGCGAAGGGAAAGGGTGATTGTTATTAATGGTATTTCACTACCACGTTTTCAAATATATTTCTGGATTTTTCATTCGTAAAGTATTTATTTTTTTAAGGTCGGTAGCCTGTTTAACTTTTAGGTAAAAAACAATGTGTTATAATGCTCGAGTAAAATTTGTAAGAAGTATTCGATTTGTTGTAAGAATACATCTAACTTTATTCATTAGTGATGACACATTGCCTTCGCAACGGTCTTCGCCCCTTAACTCGCAGTTTTTCTCATGAAAAATTGTGAAGCATCGTATTCATTCACACAAAAACGCCGAGGGACTAATGTAATTGTCAAACGCAAAATACCTCGACAAAATAACAATTTTGTGACTCGTAAGCATCGTTTGAAAATACCGTAAGTAACAGAATGTTAACGAAAAAAATGTTTCTTGAGACACCACCACTTGCCAGCCCCTTGACATCCAGGGCTCCTCGCAAACGTCATTTAGCCCCTTCGCCACTCCTCCGGCTACTCGCCTGGCGACTGCGCCCACGCCCCCTTTCCGAAGCGCGCTGTCCGCGGGCGACAGCGCGGGGGCGACGCGAAGACTCGCGGGCGGAGGCGGCAGCCGCCGATTCGGACGCGGGCCGTAATTAATGGGGCGCCGCGTCCGCCGTCCTCTCGAAATAATTACGCAACTCCGCCGGGGGACGAGTTATTAATGGCGGCACGGGGGAGGGGGAGGAGGGCGGCGGTCGCTTTGTCGCGGCGGCACGCGCTCGACCTGAGTGGGCGGGGGCGGGGGCGGGGGCGCACGGAGTGGAAAAAGGGAGAGCGGCGGGCGGTAGCTCACGTATAAGCAACACACAGGCAGATGAGCTACTCTATGAGGAATTAACGAATAATTGTTTTATTTGCACTAGAATAGTGTGTTTTCGAAGTTCTTAATGTTGTCCAGAAATGACTGCAAATGAGAGGATTTAATACCCCTATTTTCACATAGGCAAAACTATGTTGGATTCTTTCTATGTTTTTGTGCTGCGACTACATTGAATCTCCTGAGTCTATGTGGGGCGACGCAAAATGGAGGTGGGCACTACTGGTTCCCTACAGCCAGTCAAATATTATCCACTGAATGTAATATTTAGATACCTTTTGGTAATTCTTAATATAGGTGAAGACAACAAGACAAGTTCCCATAGACGTGTTTTCTAAGGGGATCATAACAATTATATTAGCATTTGTACTGTAGAACGTAATATGAACTTGAGTCACCTAAAAACGGGATAACAAATACCAGAATATAAAGTAATATTTTGCATAAACATTAAGTTTAAAGAAATATTTTTAAATTCCTTATTTTTAATATTGCGAATTCCCTGTTATAACTATATCTTCGAGCTCGCCAGATATATCAAGAAATATGATGTTAAATGCGTGTTTCATTTATCGTTTGTATTGAAGCTTCCACGTATTTGCAGTATAAATGAAATATTTTACAATCCCTTCGCATATAGTTATTAACTACTAGTAAAGTGAAGACAAGAAAATTGGTGATTTCGATAACCGTGGTTATAATACACTTTTGATGGAACATTTAATATAACGGACAAATGGATCCTTAACTGACGTAAAATAAACTATTTTGTGAAATATTGTTTTGTCACAGCATGATTTCTATTTTTGTCTTTTTTCAATTCCTCACTTTTCTATAATATTGTTTCTTTTCTATCAATAAGGCTATCAATAAAGCAACATAAAAATATTTATATTTACAGAATGTTTTTTAGAAATGAAATAGCGATAACAATAAATAATATGGGAACAGAAAAAGTTAACTTGGACGATAATTTTAAACAAAAACAGAAAATTGCTGTGTTCAAATTCACATAAAAAATATGAACGCACGTATCATTGAGTGATTTGTCTTTTATTAAGGTACACTTTTAAATGATCTCTTAAATGCAATTATTTTAAATATTTTGCAAATATATTTTGACGTTTGGAAGTTTCAAAATACTTTCTTTCATTTGTGTGAAAGGGTCCTTTGTTTTACTCCACAAGGTTTATTCTCTCATTTCCCCCGGAACAGAGTCCAAGTTCAAAAAAAAGTCGTAAAGTTTCTCGTAATAAAATGGAATATTCTTCCTTTTGGACAAAATTAAAAAAAATGTTAATATCAAGTTATACATATTATCGTAAAAAAGAAAACTTATTTTAAATCGTTATTAAGAGACTTTGCTCCTCTTGTGGCTCATGGGCAGTGTGCTACACTTCTACGAGGGTGATTCCGGGTTTGATTTCCGAATAAAGCTGAAACTGTAGCTTTTTATTACAAATCGTGTCAGTTTCTATAGCTGTGTGACAAAAGAAAACTCAGGCACGTCAAGAAAGCTAGGTGCAGTGATGAGAATACGCTATGCCTCACAAGTCCCCTTCACTCGCAGACGTGGATAATACACACAAGTAGTGCGCAGGCCTAAGAACCCCCTCGCTGGCAAAAGCCGGATTAATCCGACCTTACAGTGGCGAATACATACAGGAAGTCAGGAGAA